ATCATGAAAGAATGGAGAGCAGAAGAGTCTCCATCTGAAGAGGTAAAGTGACAAGACGCGCCTAGCAAGAAAGGCTTTTCTTTGGCACACTGGACACTCTTGTTTTGACTCACGAACCATCTGACACCCAGGGTCATCCGAATGGGGTTTACCGGAGCACTGGGCACACTTTGCCCACTTCTGGCTCAGGAGGCCTATGGGAAAAGAAGTCCGAGACAAGCTCAGGGTCGAATGCCCAGGCCCTCTAGTACCGAACAAGATAGTCCTCAGCATGGAGTTCGGTATCACTGTGGTGATATTTATGTCCCGATCAGGCCGGGGTCCATATAAACGTGTAGGAGAAGGAATCAAAACTAGTTAGGATTAAATACTGGACATGATTAGCCCTGGGAAAAAATTCTGTACTTTGCGGACCTGACCCCCACCCAAGACTCGCCTCTAGATGCTCACGATGTGAGGGAATGGGTGCAAAGGGCAATATGTAGGTTGGGGAACGCAAGGCAGACAGGTGCACAGAACGGCGCAAAGCAGCCCGATTAAAGATGGATTTCAAACTATTGAAGTTAGGGACGAAAGAGCGAGGACCTCAGGCGGACGGACTATTTATCTCAGCAACGGTTTGGTAGTAAGGAAGAAGACAGGAGACTATCGCCCAGTCATCAACCTACGCCAACCCAATGGTTTTGGGGCGTACCGACACCTCAAGAAGGAAGGTATCTATCTCTTAGGGGGATCTACTCCTCGAAAGGGGTTCGCAAGGTTGGATTTGAAGGGCACTTACCTACTGGTTCACATGGTGCCTCATGAAGTTTCTGAAGCCGGTCACGGTGCACTAAGGAGCAAAGGGTATCTGCTGTCTCATACCTAGACGACTTACTGACCTTTTGCAAATCCAATTCCTGACTACATTTACAGATGAGATTTATATTTACAGTTTCGGGTATTGTTGGGATTCATAGTGAACAGAGAGGAGTCGGTTCGATCCCAGTTCCGAGTGATAGATTCCACCTTGGGCGGATTACACCTTCCCACATCATTGATAGCGGCGATTCGTAAGGAAATTCGACGGGTACGGCGAAAAGGAACCATAACCCTTTGACTATTTCCCAGGACCGCTTCACTACTGGGCCAGACAGCGGCTGAAAGCTCACTAGTGGGATCAGAATAGCGAAGACTTCGATAGTACTCATTACCGCGGTAAAGGAGTCAAGCGTGGCACCCAGAATGGTTGTCCTTAATCGGGATCATCCTCTGCTCCTTCAGTTTTAACTTGCCTTCGGGCAGATCCAAAAGGAGAACATCATCCATTGATAATGCAGGAGCATCTGGAGTTGGTGGATTGGTGTCTTTCAGGGGAGACTGGTATGTCAAGGGACTATCACAACCAACTAGAGACCTATTATGGGACTCATGGACACCAGGTATTCCCCGAAATAACTTATCCGCATAGAATACCTGGAGTCGATGGTGTATGGGAAGGGACTGCGATCCGTTTCTTACCCCTATCTCTTCGATGCTGATTCTTTATCATACCTTTTTGCTACGGAACGATCGGACCGCTCCAACGGGATACGTTCCACGATTTCGCCGACGCATAGTACGATTCACGAAAATCCGGTCGATCAGGAGCCTTTGATATGCCGCTTTATGCAGGGTATCAAACTGTCCAGAACCATGCGTCAAAGTATCACTAATGTAGGACTTTGATTTGGTTCTTTTGGATCTAGTCAGATAACACGGACCTATCCCTCCGTCAGCTGTCAGCCATAGTCACGTTACTTTTAGGTCTTTTCGTCGGCTATCAGATGTACTGGAGTTCGACGTAGACAGTCTTTTTGGCATCACCGGAAGGAATGATTTCTACAGTGTCTCGTAGAACTAAATCTGATCTTCATCCATATCTTACCCTGTTCCCGGCGGTTTCCCAGTCTTTGTGCAGTTAAAGCGGTACTTCGTTACATGGAGATCACGACAACACTTAGATTGTCACATTCAGGACATCTGCTGGTCTTATACCAACCATACAGCCAGTTACCATGAACACTCTGCAACAGTCAGCAGACACATTCCAGCCAATCAGCAGCAGACCCTCCCTCCCAGACCCTCCCACCTCCTGGACAGCTCACTAAGAATGCAGCTTCACAATGAATGTAAAATGGATGCCTTCCAGGAGGTGGGAGGGTCTGGGAGGGATAACTGCTGATTGGCTGGAATGTGTCTGCTGACTCTGAGGTACAGGGTCAAAGTTTACTCAATGATGAATCCGTGGCGAACCGTTCGTGGCGAACCGTCGCGAACCGTTTTAAAATTAAAATTAAGATTATAGGTACACTACGTTAGCATAATCTACAATTATATATGAATTTGTGTAACATATTTATTTTATATTTATTGTGTGTATATGTATTTAAAGTGGTTTTTGATGTGTTTTACAATTGATAATATATAGTTTTTATATGATATATAAATATTCAACCTAATTAATAATTATTTCCTTTTTTTATGTGGAATTTCTTGCGCTCATGTTGATAGGAACTATGGATTGTCCAAAATTAATGCCGGATAATTTCTGACCAAAATGGTAGAAGGTGCAGCATGGTGAGTGCTACACCCACAAAAATGGATGCATATTGTGATGCTCTGCATTTAACATCCTCCAGTAACTTCTACAACTCCAAGGCCTCATCTCACACTCATACTCACTCATAGGAACAGTGATTGTAATGCTCTGCATTTAACATCCTGCAGTAACTCCAACAACTCCAAGGTACTGACTGAAGCTTGGAAGATACTTCACCTAATTTATTCTTACATTGTACACTATATTATCATGTGTTACTATTACATTGTTTCCAATTATACCTGTAGTTTGCCACTGTAATTTTATGTGCATGCAGTTTTTATCATTGTCATTTAATGTTTCTGACCAATATTTCATGTACACAGTTAAGAATATTTTTGGTGATAGAATTTGGTTGCTAAACTTTTCAATTGTATACGACACATGTTTACTCTACCCGCCTCGCTACCCTCCCCTCCCCTCCTCCATGCTACTCCTGGCTATAAATACCTTCATATAACTGTTCTATCTCCATCTCTGTTCTTCAGGCCTCATCACACACTCATACTCACTCATAGGAACAGTGATTGTGATACACTGCATTTTATTTCTTTCTCACCACTTCCCACCTGCCCTCCCAGGTTCCCCCTAAATATATAGCATGCTCATTCAGCTGTTTGAGATTCTCACTCACTTCATTCCCGTTTAGATTTTACCAATAGCTGCTTCTCTCTGTTAACTATTTTAGCCATCACCTCCAAACTTCCCCTGCTACATTTTGTCTCAAATCCCCACGGTATCCTTTAGATTGTAAGCTCACGGGCTATCTAGCTTAGTACTTTGGATAAAAGAGCTTCAATGGCTAGTTATCAGCTTACGGGCAGGGCTCTCTCTACCTCTTATATTTGTCTGTGTATATTGTACGTTCTCCACTAATTGTACAGCGTTGCGGAATCTATTGGTGCTTTATAAATATCGGTAATAAATAATAGATAACATTTGTGAAAATCCAGACTGTGCTGAGGAAATAAAGCACATCAGGTGGAACGCAAACTTCATCAGAAAATGACTGCTGAAACACATGCGATGGCACCGGAAATGCTGTTACAGACATTTGGGAGCACCAATATGGTGGCTGCAAGCGGTACATTGAGAGTGAGATGAGACTTTGGAATAGGGGGTGGATTTAGGCACTCGTTTGGCGCCAAAAGGATTTTAAATGCCGGGACCTGTTTAGTGCAAGTCACCCACCTGAGGAAGAGGCTTACTAACATTGAATCGCATTGTGGTCTATCGACTTTGTGGACTATGTACTGTGGCACTCCAGGCACTTTAATGTAAGGCAGGTTTTACTGTATTGCAATAAATGTTGCTGTAAATTTAAATGCTGGTGCCTTTCTTTTACTTTACTATTAAGGATCCAGTTCCTCTCATTCCTGCATTGGCTCAATAATACTACACTTTTTAATTGAGACGTAAAAGTTCAATCAGCAAAAGTTATAGTACATGTAGAAAAGTGAGCTTTAGAACAAAATAAAAAATAGTAAAAAATTCTTGTGCACAGGATAAATGCGCCTGTTTAAAAAAAATATATATATATATATATATATATATATATATATATAATATCAGGAGTTAGTCTTAGAGGTGTGAGCTAGGTAACCATATCTTTAGACAGCCATATTAAGGTGCCCCCCCTGATATTATCACGAGTAGCTATTGCATAATAAAAACATGCTAACCAATAGTATGCTCTATGAAGAAACAAGCTATAGGGTAGGTAGCACACTAGGCTAGACATTAGACATTATAATAATAATATACCGCTTGGATTAGATGCTCTAGGCATGATATGCAAAAGTACGTAAAACAAAAGTAAAGGAGAAAAGAAAAGGAAAACAGCGTTAGACAAGGCACAGTAGAAAAATTGGTAGTTGTAGCCACTGCAGGTACATATGGTTGGGAATACAGATTGCCAAGCTGGAGGTCTCAGTATTCAGCAGATTCCTTAATCTGGTAAGCACATGGTAATTAGATAGCTTCTGCTTGATAATATATCTTGACTGTGCTCAGGAGAAGCCAACCTCCACCCCTAGGCTTGTGTAAGGGCTGCACCTTGAAGCCATGGACTCGGTGCTCATTTAAGCAGGGTCCTTCCTAAATGGGATAGAGTGGAAGTCCCGGGTGGTCTGGGGCTTTTTTCAGTCAGTGGTGTTCCACTTGCTTGGATGTTGTCATGGGGAAAGCCCAATGTGGCCCTCAGTCTGGTTGGACAGATAAAAGATGTGCTGTGAGCATGAGCTCAGAGGGGGCACCACTGGTTTCCAACTCCAGCATTCCGTGTCTCCCTCTGCAGATGGAGACTGTGATGTCAGAAAACACTCTTCCAAGTGAACCCAGAATCACTCAAATGCAGCCTCTATTGATATCAGGATATTGCTGCTGTGTACATAACTCTACACCTGCTGAGGTGATGTCCCTCAATGCAGGAATGGTTGCAGCCACCATCTTTGGCAGATCAGACCTTTGCAAGGAAATACGAAGTAAGGTCTGTGTAGGTTCATCCAGTGGGGACCTAGATAAAAGTGGAGGTTGGGGGTGGGTTAGCAAGATTGCTGTTCAAGTTTCTGTGAGATCTGCCACCTCTCCACAGCTTATCCACAAGTATGCCACAAATATGGCACACTGGGCTCCTAGTGGCCAAGATTCTCTGGCTTGGTGTCTAAAGGATCACAGAGTTGTCCTGTGAGTAGTCAGAATATTGCGGTAGTGGTTACAGTTTGTTAACTGAGCTTATTGCCAGAGGTTTGACAGATCAAGCAGGAGCTCACTCTGTGTCCATCAAGTCAGCTTGGTTATTGCACACTTCACTTTTTGTTTTTGATTTGTTTAAAGATAGACCATGTGACAAAATGCCTTTTGTCACTGGATTTTTATATGACCAACTGCCCTTTGCCCCTGGCTGTTGGAGGAGCCTGATTGCCAGCCTCCTCCCTCATGACTATGGCCCTGGGGTGTATTGCCATTTAAAAAGACTATTTGGGGCTTATTGGCTTCTAAAAGACTGTTTCTGCCCATTTGAATCCATGGGAAGATGTGTGTCTTCCCCTCCTCAGTATCCTGTCTATTGTTCCAGCAGGGCGTTGTCCCAGGCACACTGCCAGACCAGCTGGAACTTGCTCTTGCTATGTTTTAACCCCATGGCGATTTGACTGTGTTTGTGGTATCTGAGCGCTGTTCAGATATAGTGAGCGCTCAGATCCAAGCTATCTGGGGATAGGTTGAATGTGGAGGTTATGTTAAGTATAATAGGAATTATGTATTTTTATGTGTTTTTACTGTTGTTGTGAATAGAGCTATTTTCTGTATGCTGGAGGGAATTGCCATGCTTGCGGATGGTCACAAAGGGACTTTCAACTAACTTTTCACCCACTGGGCCAATTTGTATGAGTTTGACGTATGTTTGTATTTGGAGTATGCTGATTCTGAAAATGTAATGTGAATGTAATGTATTCAAGTAAAGTTATGAAAATTGTGTAAAACTGTGTATTTTCCTGCCTGTGATAATTAAGTTATTGTGTAATTATATCACAGGCAGAGGGGAGGATTTTGTGTGGGAGTGTCTGAGTGTATTGTACGTATTGATTGGTTGTTCTGCAAAACCCTGTGGGCAGTACTATGTGTGTAAAATGTGCATAAAAGCAGAGTGTTGGATTAAAGCTTCAGTTCTACTTCACCCTCAATTTGGAGTGCCGTCTCTTATTGGGGGAATCTGCTACAAGGGATTGCTATGCTCTGCATATTCCCTTGCTATAATCACTGAGCTCTTGTAAGAGCTTGTTCCTGTCTTGCTCTCTGAAGGAGTCTACGGTGGTTATGGTGTCGGCTGGAGTGCTTGGAGCCCTCAGGAAGCACTAGGAGCATCCTTCAACGGAGGTACCCAGTCGGGGTGCCAGGTGATCCATTACAGACCATCTTTGCTGCACTGATCTTGAGAACAAACTGTGATGGATGCCTATTCTTTTATATCCTATTGCTCAGATGTGTTACCACTAATGGTACAATGCTTTCTTTAGCTCCACTTTGGATGTTATATTCAATGCAGTTG